AAGATATTGTTACTCTAGATGGTATAAGCCTGCCATCCATCACCCCGTCAGGAATCTAAAATTGATCTAAAATGGAATTTAATTCCCTTGTGGGTCCATCCTTGTGTCTGTACATATATGGGCACAATGAAACGAGAGAAGTTAAATGAGCCTGACTCCGTTCAGAGCCCGGTCTATTTAAAAAAGGCTCTGAACCAGCCCGTCCCAACGAGCTTGAAGACCTCTACTAAGGAGAGGAGAGAAACATGGTCACCAGTAGAAATGTTCTGTTTGATAAACGACTTTAAGGCCAAACCCACACTGAAGTCTATTTAACAGTAAAACATTTTAAAATACATTGATCATATCTAAACAAAATCCTGAATCGGCAGCCATGAAGACATTATATTGTAATAAGTCCCAGTGCTGAGTCTAAAATATGAAGTGCTCTGAAAAACAACCAACTTTCAACTCAACGCAACAGCAGGTCATCTGGCAACACACAATGTTAACTAGTCACATGTACAAGAAAGCACATTCCTGCTAGATTACTGTGTATTTCTGTGTGTGTGTATGAGGACTTTGCCATTCAGAAACTAACGGAAATCGGACAAAAGTTCATTTTTATCAAACAATTCTTTGTATCATTTCATGTTTTTGTCCAAGCTGTGTGTGTGTGTGTGTGTGTGTGTGTGTGTGTGTATGAGAAGTTTGCTGTTCAGAAATGAACGGAAATCAGACAAAAGTACATTTTTATCAAACAATACAATTCTTTGTATCATTTCATTTTTTTTCCAAGCTGTGTGTGTGTGTGTGTTGAACAGATGAATGTTGGCAGTGAAATAAAGAGTTTTTTATTTGGAGAAAAATCAGACAAAAGTTCTCATTTAAACGATGATGAGTATTGGAATGCTGGCAGATAAATAAAGAAGTCTGTAGATGAAAACAGAAAAAAACACAAGTGCGGGTAACAGAAAGTAAAGACAGACAGATTGAACAGACAATCTAAGAGACAGACAGACAGACAAACAGGTATCGAGGACAGGTGAGACAGGTGGGAATGCATAGAGAACAGAGAGCTGCAGCTATGACAAGCAGAAAAATGAATTTTTTTGAGTTTTGGAGAAACAACAAAGAAAGAGGAGCTTTGCAGAGGAGAACCAACCAGCTGAGACTTTTTCCTTCACAGCTGTGAGTCTGATTCTACACTTTAATTATAGAAAACGGATTGTAACTGCTTTAAACCAGTCTTACATATATAATGTTACTTACATAGCAGGCTCCAGACTGATCTAACTATTAAGTTGCTAATATGGAAAACTGTAATTCACAGTCAGTGTTCACTTTGATGGATATAGCAATCAAAAATTGGTCTGCTGAAGTTTCTTTTTACTTTAATGTAAAAGTTTATTTCAAGACAAATTTGATGTCAGAGAAGTTCTTGATCAGCTTGCACACAGAGTAAAAAAAAAAAAAAAGTAATGGGGCAGCTGGGGCACCAAAATAAAGATTTAATTTTACATAAAATCTTGTATAATTGTTTTTCTTTTTAATGATAAAGATATTTACATTGTAAAAACAATGAAATGACCTATAAATACAGACATACTCTGCTATAATACAAATAATGAGGATTACATTTACAGAAGAGTGCTGTTATGATTAGATTTCTCTTATTTAAATCAAAATTTTCAAAGTTATAGAACTGTAACAAAAGCTCATTATACAAAGATATCTGTCCAGTTACCAAATAACATTAATGCTAAAATTACACAACAAATTAAACTACTTAAATCTTTTTTTTTTACTTTTAATTGTCACTAATTGTACATCATTTTCAGCAACAGTATTAACTTGCTTGTATGAATGCCAAATGTGAATACAATGCACAAATATTCTTATGATACAGATTCAAACATTTCTTTATAAATCAGTAAGTAAATTACATTTTAGTTTTTCTATGTGGAGGTTGGCTCATCACAAATGTCTTTATATTGGCTGCCGGGACAGTAGGTTCAGTGTTACAGTACGAGTGTTGAGAAATGTGTGGTCAGAAGACTAGAAAGGCACTATACAAGTACAGTCCACGTACCATTTTAAAGAAACTGAAATGTTAGCAGCAGTGAAAAGATGTTTGCTTGACTCCAGAAGAAGATGAGAAGACAGACTTTTAGCTTTTTTTAATATCTATAATGTGACAGACCTGATGGTCCTGTTATTTTGAATGAAGTCTGACATTTAACCCTCCACCAGGAGGCAGTTGCTAGGTGACAGCGGAATTCGGGCGGCCCTGCATGATGTGAGGATGGCGCCTCTGTTGCCCCCTGTTGGTTCAGAGGTCTTCAGACGCTTCACACCAGCGTCGCTGGAGGAGATCCAGCGACGACATGAAGTCGAGGAGAAGGAGCAACAAAGGAGGAAGGAGAAGAACATTGAGGTATATTGATCAGCTATCAGCTGTGCATAACAAGTAATCAATATATTAAGAACAAGTCTCTGATTGGCTATCTCTCTGATTAACAGATAGCAGAGGAAAATCTTCCTAAACCAGCTAGTGACCTAGAGGCTGGGAAACCCCTCCCATTCATCTATGGAGACCCACCCCCTAAGCTTCTCAACACCCCACTGGAGGAGCTGGATCCCTTCTACCAATCACAAAAGGTTTCTATCTCTTTAATAAAATCTCTCGTGCCTGTGGTCTGAAGACTGATCAATATTTCTGGAAATGATCAATATTATAATTATAATCATACAGTTAATAAATACATGCACAGTGATGATTGTACTGTTTCAGACAACCAGTCTCTGTCTCTCCGTCTATCTCTGTCTGTCTCTCTGACTGGTCTGCAGACATTCATTGTGCTTGGTAAAGGAAACATCATCTACAGGTTTAACGCTGAGCCATCCTGTTACCTGCTGAGTCCATTCAACCCGCTGAGGACTGTCGCCATCAAGATCCTCATTCATTCATATCCTTTATGATGTCACACAGTTGATCAGTGAGCAGAAACTTTAATTGGCAGAGTATTGATCATTAATCAGCTGATGATGTTTTTTTGTTCCTTAAAACCAAAACTTTATTCAGTTTGTTCATCATGGTGACGATTCTGACCAACTGTGCTTTTATGACGATGAGTGATCCTCCAGCGTGGAGCAAGACTGTGGAGTGAGTCCACACACACAAGCAACACACTATACACATTTACTGATACACAAAACTGGACTGGCGTCACAGTCTGGATTAAAGAAAACTGTTTTGTTTGTGGTCTGGTAGCTGATGGACCACAGGACCTTGTGAGACAGGACACAGACTGGTCGAACATATGTAATAGCCTAGTGCACACATTGAAGGACCTGAGCCTCCTTAGGAAGAACAGCCTGCTCTGTCCTTTCCTGTAGAGGTTCTCAGTGTGGTCTGTCCAGTCCATTGTATTGTTTCACAGCACCCCCAGGAACTTGTAGGTTCCTTATAGCAACTGGGGAGGGGGATCTCTTGTTGCTGAACTCAATTAAATTAAATTTTATTTGTATAGCACCAATTCATAACAGAAATCATCTCAGGACACTTTTCAAATAGAGCAGGTCTAGACCAAACTCCTTTTAACATTTACAGAGACCCAACAGTACCACCATGAGCAAGCACTT